CGAGGTTCTTTACATATGGAGGGAGGCACATCAGAATAACATCACACCTGTCCACAGAAACCTGGCAAGCCAGAAAGGGCTGGCAAACCATATTCAGGGTACTAAATGAAAAGAACATGCCGCCAAGAATACTTTATACAGCAAGGCTGTCATTCACAATTGGTGGAAAGATAAGGAACATTCAGGACAAGCAGAAACTGAAAGAATATGTGACCACCAAGCCAGCATGGCAAGAAATATTAAGGGGGAGTCTATAAAAGGAGAAAGACCCCAAGAGTGATATTGAAGAGAAATTTACAGAGACAGTCTATAGAAAGTTGACTTCACAGGCAACATGATGACAATAAATTCATATCTTTCAATAATCACTCTCAACATGAACGGCCTAAATGCTCCCATAAAATGGCACAAGGTTGTAGAGTGGATAAAAAGATAGGACCTATCCATATGCTGTCTACAAGAGATTCATTTTTGAACCTAAAGATATATCCAGACTGAAAGTGAAGGGATGGAGATCCATCTTCCATGCAAACGAACCTCAAAAGAAAGCTGGGGTAGCATTCCTCATATCAGACAAATTAGACTTCAAACCAAAGACCATAGTAAGAGATGTAAAGGGATACTATGTCATCCTTAAAGAGTCTATCCAACAAGAAGAACTAACAGTTGTAAATATCTATGCCTCCAACATGGGAGCAGCCAATTATATAAACCAACTAATAAAAAAATTAAAGAAACATATTGATAAAAATACTTTAATAGTAGGAGACCTCAACATTTACTCACAAAATGGACAGATCATCTAAACAGAAAATGAACAAAGAATCAAGAGCTTTGAAGGACACATTGGACCAGATGAACTTTGTAGATATATACAGACTATTCCCTCCTAAAACTCAGAATACTCATTCTTCTCGAGTACACACAGAATTTTCTCTAGAATAGACCACATATTGGGTCACAAATCAGGTCTCAACCAATACCAAAAGACTGAGATTATTCTCTGCATATTTTCAGACTACAAGGCTTTGAAACTGGAACTCAACCAGAAGGAGAAATTTGGAAGGAACTCAAACACTTGGAAGTTAAAGAGCATCCTGCTAAAGAATGATTGGGTCAACCAGGAAATTAAAGAAGAACTTAATCAATTCACAAACTGATGAGAATGAAAACATATCAGTTCAAAACCTATGGGATATTGCAAAAGCAGTCCTAAGAGGGAAATACGTAGCCATCCAAGCCTCTCTCAAAAAATTATAAAAATCCCAAATGCACAAGCGAACCGTACACCTAAAGGGGCTGGATAAAGAACAGCAAATAAAGCCTAACCAAAGCAGAAGAAGAGAAATAGTGAAGATTAGATCAGAAATCAATGAAATAGAAACAAATACAAACAAACAAACAAACAGTTGAACAGATGAACAAAACTAGAAGCTGGTTTGTTGAAAGAATTAATAAGATTGATAAACCACTGGCCAGACTTATCCAAAAGAAAAGAGAAAGGACCCAAATTAATAAAATCATGAAAGAAAGGGGAGAGATCATGACTAACATCAAGGAAACAGAAACAATTACTAGAAATTTTTACTAGCAACTATATACCAGCAAATTAAGCAATCTGGAAGACATGGATGCATTCCTGGAAACTTAGAAACTACCAAAACTGAAACAGGAAGAAATAGACAATATGAACAGACCAATAACCAGGCAGGAAATTGAAACAGAAATAAAAAAACCTGCCGATAAAACAGAGTCCAGGGCCAGATGGATTCCCAAGGGAGTTTTAGCAAACATTTAAAGAAGAAATAATATCTATTCTCCTGAAGTTGTTTCAAAAAATAGAAACAGAAGGAAAACTTCAAAACTCGTTCTATGAGGCCAGCATTACCTTGATCCCAAAACCAGGCAAAGGCCCCATCAAAAAGGAGAATTACAGACTAATATCCCTGATGAACATGGATGCCAAAATACTCACCAAGATCTTAGCCAATAGGATCCAACAGTATGTTAAAAGGAATATTCACCAGACCAAGTGGGATTTACTCCTGGGCTGCAAGGGTGGTTCAACATTTGCAAATCAATGTGCTAGAGCATATTAATAACAGAAAAGACAAGAATCATATGGTCTTCTCAATTGATGCAGAAAAAGCATTTGACAAAATACAACATCCATTCCTGATTAAAACTCTTCAGAGTGTAGGGATAGAGGGCACATTCCTCAATATCATAAAAACCATCTAAGAAAAGCCCACAGTGAATACCATTCTCAATGGGGAAAAGCTCTCAGCTTTTAAGGGAAAGCTGGGAGTTTTTCCCTTAAGGTCAAGAACACAAGAGGAATACGCATTCTCCCGACTTTTGTTCAACATAATACTAGAAGTCCTAGCATCAGCAATCAGACAACAAAAAGAAATAAAAGGCATCCAATTTGGCAAAGAAGAAGTCAAACTCATTCTCTTCATAGATGACATGATACATTATGTGGGAAACCCAAAAGATGCCACCCGCCAAATTACTAGAACTCACACAGCTATTCAGCAACATGGCAGGATACAAAATCAATGTACAGAAATCAGTTGCTTTTCTATACACTAACAATGTAACTGTAGAAAGATAAATTTAGGAATCAATTCCATTTACAATAGCACCAAAAACCATAAAATACCTAGGAATAAACCTAACCAAAGAGGTAAAGATCTATACTCTAGAAACTACAGAACACTCATGAAAGAAATTGAAGAAGACACAAAAAGATGGAAAAACATTCCATGCTCATGGATTGGAAGAATAAACATTGTGAAAATGTCTATCTTGCCCAGAGCAATCTACACTTTCAATGTCATCCCTATCAAAATACCATTGACATTTTTCAAGGAGCTGGAACAAACAATCCTAAAATTTTTTGGAACCAGAAAAGACCCCAAATGGCCCAAGGAATATTTAAAAAGAAAAACAAAGCTGGTGGCATCACAATGCCTGACTTCAAGCCAAATTAGAAAGCTGTGATCACCAAGACAGCACGGTTTTGGAACAAAAACATATAGACCTATGGAACAGAATAGAGACTCCAGAAATGGACCTTCAACTCTATCATCAACTAATCTGACAAATCAAGAAAAAATATCCAATGGAAAAAAGACAGTCTCTTCAATAAGTGGTGCTGGAAAATTGGACAGCTATATACAGAAGAATGAAACTCAACCACTCTCTTACATCATACACAAAGATAAACTCAAAGTATATGAAAGATCACAATGTGAGACAGGTATCCATCAAAATCTGAGAGAACATAGGCAGTAACCTCTTCAACATTGGCCACAGCGACTTCTTTCAAGACATGTCTCTAAAGGCAAGGGAAACAAAAGCAAAAATGAACTTTTGGGACTTCACCAAGATAAAAAACTTTTGCACAGCAAAGTAAACAGTCAGCAAAACTAAGAGGCAAACCATGGAATGGGAAACTATATTTGCAAATGATGTTACAGATAAAGGTCTGGTATCCAAGATCTATAAAGAACCTCTCAAACTCAACACCCAAGAAACAAATAATCCAGTCAAGAAATGGGCAGAAGACATGAACAAACACTTCTCCAAAGAAGATATAAAAATGGCTAACAGACACATGAAAAAGTGATCAACATCATTAGACATCAGGGAAATTCAAATCAAAACCACACTTTAGAGTTGCCGATATATTTTCTTACATCTCAGGCTGAATTCGTAGGTGTTCAGAATGGTTTGATAGATATCCAACTAACTTCAAGGGACCAGATGAAATGAGGTCCCCTACTCTTCCACCATCTTGCCTACCCCTTCTTTTTTTAATTTAAATTCAATTAATTAACATATAGTATATTATTAGTTTCAGAGGTAGAGTTCAGTGATTCATCAGTTGTATATAACATCTAGTACTCATTACATCACATGCCCTCCTCAATGCCCATCACCCTATTACCCTATTCCTCCACTCCCTTTCTCTCCAGCAACCCTCACTTTCTTTCCTATGATTAAGAGTCTCTTATCTTTTGTCTCCCTCTCTGGTTTCATCTTGGTTTTCTTTCCCTCCCTTCCTCTATGGTTCTCTGTTTTGTTTCTTAAATTCCACGTATGAATGGAATCATATCATAATTATCTTTCTGTGATTGACTTCTTTTGCTTAGCATAATACCCTCCAGTTCCATCCACATTGTTGCAAATGGCAAAATTTCATTCTTTTTGATGGTTGTGTAATATTCCATTGTATTTATATACCACATTTTCTTTACCCACTCATCTGTTGATGGACATCTGGGCTCTTTCCATTGTTTATAGCCCTGCTATAAATATCAGGTGCAGGTGCCCCTCAGATCACTACATTTGCATCCTTGGGGCATATACCTAGCAGTGCAATTGCTGGGTTGTAGGGTAGCTCTATTTTTAACTTCTTGAGGAAACTCCATAGTGTTTTCCACCATGGCTCTACCAGCTTGCATTCCTGCCAGCAGTGTAAGAGGGTTCATTCCCCTTTCCACACATCCTCGCCAATATTTGTTGTTTCCTGACTTTTTAATGTTAGCCATTCTAATCGGTGTGAGGTGATACCTCATTGTGGTTTTGATTTGAGTTTCCCTGATGCCAAGTGATGTTGAGCATTTTTTCATGTGTCTGTTGGCCATTTGTAGGTCTTCTTTGGAGAAATGTCTGTGCATGACTTGTGCCCATATCTTGACTGGATTATTTGTTCCCTGGGTGTTGAGTTTGATACATACTTTATAGATTTTGGATACTAACCTTTTAACTGATAAAACATTTGCAAAAGTCTTTTCCCATTCTGTAGGTTGTCTTTTGGTTTTGTTGACTATTTCTTTTGCTGTGCAGAACTTTTTATCTTGATGAAGCCCCATAAATTCATTTTTGCTTTTGTTCCCTTACCTTTGAAGACCTGTCTAGCAAGAAGTTGCTGCAGAGGAGCAAGATGGCAGAGGAGTAGGAGACCTGGATTTCGTCTGGTCTCAGGAATTCAGCTAGATAGGGATCAAACATTCTGAACACCTACCAACTCAACAGGACATCGAAGAAAAGAAGGGCAGCAACTCTCTGAACAGAAAAGCAACCACTTTCTGGAAGGTAGGATGTGCGGAGAAGTGAATCCGAGTCGGTATTCGGGAAGATAGATGGCAGGGGAGGGGGTCTCCATCAGCCGCTACCAGCAAGTGATAGAGCAGCAGAGCACAAAATCGGAACTTTCAGAAGTGTGCTCTGTTGAGGGATGTCGCTCCAGTGGCTAAGTGGGGAGTGGAACCCTCGTTGGCACAGTGTGGTCTCAGGACCCTTGGGGTCACAGAAAGACCAGGAGTGCCTGAGTGTGGCAGAGCTCCCAAGTATCAGAGCTGGGAAGCCGGCTGCAGAGACGGAGCTGAGGAGTGGGCTCTCAGCTTGGGGTTGACATAAACTGTGATCTGCGGCACAGTCGGGCCACTGCTCTTCCAGCAGGGACCCAACAAGCAGCAGATATGGGGAGATTCCCCTTCCTGCCCTGGTAAGAGTGGCGTGGGAGCACACTGGAGGTACCAGCTGGGTTTGGAGACTCCAAACGGTGTCATGTGCCAGAGATAGAAACGCTCGGTCACAGACCGGGTGAGCATGGAGTGAGGCCAGAGACCTGGGAAATGGGAGTGATTGACTGCTTTTCTCTGGGGGCTTACTGAGGAATGGGGCCCCGAGTTCTCGGCTCCTATGGTGCAGAGATTAGGAGGCTGCCATTTTCACTCTTGTTCTCCAAAGCTGTACAGAAAGCTTGCAGGGAACAAAAGCTACAGAGAGCAAACCCGAGCAAATTATTTAGCCCGGCCCGGCAAGGGCGGGACAATTCTGCCTCTGGCAAAGACATTTGAGAACCATGGCAACAGACCCCTCACCCAGAAGATCAACAACAACAACCAGCCAACCCCAAGTTCACCGATCAATGAGAACGGTGGAAGGCCAGCACTAGGGGAATACAGCACATAGAATTCCTGTTTTTTTACCATGATTCTTTAGTCTTTCAAAGTTAATTTTTTTAATTTTCTTTTTTTTAATTCTTCTTTTTCCCTTTTTCAATGAACATCTTATCAATCCCTTTTTAAAAAATCTTTTTTTTTATTTTTCATTTTTAGAGTCATATTCTATCCCTTCATAGTAGTTAACCTTATTTTTGGTATATATATATAAGTTGTTCTCTCTTTAAAACTTGGGGATGCAGTTTCTTCTAACAGACCAAAATATACCCGAAATCTCTAGTGTATGCCTTTCTTTTAGTCTCCTACTTGATCACATTCTCTCCCTCTTTTTTTAATTCCCCTTCTTTCTTTTCTCAACCAACTTCTTATCTTATCCATTCCTTTTATAAAATCTTTTATAATTTTCATCTTTACAGTCATAATCCATCCCTTCATCGTATTTGCCCTTATTTTTCTACATATATGTTTTACTTTCTTTAAAATTTTGGGAGGCACTTCCTTCTAACAGACCAAAATACACCCAGAATCTAGTGTGTGGCACTGATCTATGCACCAGCCTGATCATATCTGATCATATTCTGGTTTTCCTTTGTTTGTTTGTTTGTTTGTTTGTTTGTTTTTATCTTTTTCTTTTTCTTTTTTTTTTCTTTTTTCTTTCTTTCCCTTTCTTTTCCCCTGGTTTCAGGTCTTTTCTGATTTGTTTAGTGTATATTTTTCTAGGGTTGTTGTTAATATGTTAGCATTTTGTTCTCTCATTCATCTATTCTCCTCCGGACAAAATGACAAGACAGAAGAAATCACCTCAAAAAAAAGAACAAGAGGGAGTACCGACCACCAGGGACCTAATCAATACACATTAGTAAGATGTTGGAACTAGAGTTCAGAATGACGATTTGAAAGATACTAGCTTGGTTTGAAAAAGACAAGGAAGTTATTAGAGAAACCCTTTCTGGAGAAATAAAAGAACTAAAATATAACCAAGTCGAAATCAAAAAGGCTATTGATGAGGTGCAAATAAAAATGGAGGTTCTAACTGCTATGATAAATGAGGTAGAAGAGAGATTTAGTGATATAGAAAACCAAATGATGGAAAATAAAGAAACTAAGAAAAAGAGAGATAAACAACTACTAGATCATGAGGGCAGACTTCGAGAGATAAGTGATACCATCAAAGAAACAATATTAGAATAATTGGGATCCCAGAAGAAGAAAGAGAGAGAGAGGCAGAAGGTATATTGGAGGAAATTATAGCAGAGAACTTTCCCAATTTGGGGAAGGAAACAGGCATCAAAATCCAGGAGGCACAGAGAACCCCCTCAAAATCAATAAAAATAGGTCAACACCCCGACATCTAATAGTAAAACTTATGAGTCTCAGAGACAAAGAGAAAATCCTGAAAGCACCTTGGGACAAGAGATCTGTAACCTACAATGGTAGAAACATTATTGGCAACAGACCTATCCACAGAGACCTGGAAGGCCAGAAAGGACTGACATGATATATTCAGAGCACTAATTGAGAAAAATATGCAGCCAAGAATACTCTATCCAGCTACGTTGTCATTGAAAATAGAAGGAGAGATAAAAAGCTTCCAGGACAAACAAAAACTAAAGGAATTTGCAAACACAAAACCAACCCTTCAAGAAATATTGAAAAGGTCCTCTAAGCAAAGAGAGAGCCTAAAAGTAACACTGACCAGAAAGGAACACAGACAATATACAGTAACAGTCATCTTACAGGCAATGCAATGGCACTAAATTCATATCTTTCAATAGTTACCCTGAATGTAAATGTGTTAAAAGCCTCAGTCAAAACACACAGGCTATCAGATTGCATAAAAAAATAAGACCCATTGGTATGTTGTCTGCAAAAACTCATTTTAGACCTGAAGACACTCCCAGATTAAAAGTAAGGGTGTGAAAAAAAATTTACCATGCTAATGAACACCAAAAGAAAGCTGGGGTGGCAATCCTTATATCAGACAAATTAGATTTTAAACCAAAGACTATAATAAGAGATGAGAAAGGACACTATATCCTACTTAAAGGGTGTATCCAACAAGAAGATCTAACAATTGTAAATATGCCCCTAACATGGGAGCAGCCAATTATATAAGGCAATTAAAACAAAAGCAAAGAAACACACTGACAACAATACAATAATAGTGGGGGACTATAAGACCCCCCTGACTGAAATGGACAGATCATCTAAGCAAAAGATCAACAAGGAATAAATACTTTAAATGACACACTGGACCAAATGGACTTCACAGATATATTCAGAACATTCCATCCCAAAGCAACAGAATACACATTCCTCTCTAGTGCCCATGGAACATTCTCCAGAATAGATCACATCCTAGGTAACAACTCAGGTTTCAACTGGAACCAAAACATTGGGATCATTGCCTGCATATTTTCAGACCACAATGCTTTGAAACTAGAACTCAATCACAAGAGGACAGTCAGAAAGAACTCAAATACATGGAGGCTAAAGAGCATCCTACTAAAGAATGAATGGGTCAACCAGGAAATTAGAGAAGAACTTAAAAAATTCATGGAAACTAATGAAACTAATGAAAATGAAAGCACAACTGTTCAAAATCTTTGGGATGCAGCAAAGGCAGTCTTGAGAGGAAAGTATATAGCAATACAAGCCTTTCTCAAGAAACAAGAAATACACAACCTAATCCTACACCTAAATGAGCTAGAGAACAAACAGCAAATAAAGCTTAAACCCAGCAGGAGAAGAGAAATAAAAAAGATCAGAGCAGAAATCAATGAAATAGAAACCAAAAGAACAGTAGAACAGATCAACGAAACTAGGAGCTGGTTCTTTGAAAGAATTAACAAGATTGAGAAACCCCTGGCCAGACTGATCAAAAAGAAAAGAGAAATCACCCAAATCAACAAAATCATGAATGAAAGAGGAGAGATCACAATCAACACGAAAGAAATACAATTATAAGAACATATTATGAGCAACTCTATGCCAGCAAATTAGATAACCTGGAAGAAATGGATGCATTCCTAGAGATGGATCAACTACCAAAACTGAACCAGGAAGAAATAGAAAACCTGAACAGACTTATAACCACTAAGGAAATTGAAGCAGGCATCAAAAATCTCCCAACAAAAAAATGCCCAGGGCCAGATGGCTTCCCAGGGGAATTCTACCAAACATTTCAAGAAGAATTAATACCTATTCTCCTGAAACTGTTCCAAAAAATAGAAATGGAAGGAAAACTTCCAAACTCATTTTATGAGGCCACCATTACCTTGACCCCCAAACCAGACAAAGACCCCATCAAAAAGGAGAATTACAGACCATTATCCTTGATGAACTTGGATGCAAAAATTCTTACCAAAATACTAGACAATAGGATAAAACAGTACATTAAAAGGATTATTCACCATGACCAAGTGGGATTTATCCCTGGGCTGCAAGTTTGGTTCAACAACCGCAAATCAATCAATGTGATACAATACATTAACAAAAGAAAGAACAAGAACCATATGATCCTCTCAATAGATGCAGAAAAAGCATGTGACAAAGTACACCATTCTTGGTGTACTCTTGATCAAAACTCTTCCGAGTGTAGGGATAGAGGGTACATACCTCAATATCATAAAAGCCATCTATGAAAAACCTACAGCGAATATCATTCTCAATGGGGAAAAACTGAGAGCTTTCCCACTAAGGTCAGGGACACGGCAGAGGTGTCCACTCTCACACCTGCTATTCAACATAGTATTAGAAGTCCTAGCCACAGCAATCAGACAACAAAAAGAAATCAAAGGCATCCAAATTGGCAAAGAGGAAGTCAAACTCTCACTCTTTGCAGATGATATGATCCTTTATGTGGAAAACCTAAAAGACTCCACCCCAAAACTGCTAGAATTCATACAGGAATTCAGTCAAGAGGCAGAATATAAAATCAATGCACAGAAATCAGTGGCATTCCTATACACCAACAACAAGACAGAAGAAAGAGAAATTAAGGAGTTGATCCCATTTACAATTGCACCCAAAACCATAAGATATCTAGGAATAAATCTAACCAAAGTGGCAAAGGATCTGTACTCAGAAAACTATAAAATACTCATGAAAGAAATTGAGGAAGACACA